GTATGTATGTATGGGAAATAATGAAACTTTCGTTCTAAATATTCCGCTCTAGGGTGACTCTGGAGGAGCGTTACTCAGCGCGAATATGACCAAACAACTCGGTATACTGTCCTATGGAAAGTCCATTTGCAAGCCCAATCACATTTATGTTTACACACACATACTTCGGTTGGTGAGTTGGATCGACGCTAATATAAAAAGCAGTTTCGGTTGATACCTACATAAGTGCTGTTATGCAACATGCTGTACATATAAGTTTAAGCCACAAAATAAAAGCTGCGCTTTTGCAAGTCCATTTTTATATGTATGTATGTACATATGTGCTTCACTATCATTCCATTTGCAACTGTTGGCATGTTGCAGAGTTGTTTTAGGACAGCAGAAGCGCCTACTTGTTGTCATCAATTAGGTAACAAGCACACGCGACCTATAAATATTGCACAAACAACATAAATGGATTAACAAAATACATACATACTCCATCCACACAAACACACCCAATCATACATACATATGTATGAACGAACCCAAACACAGACACAACCGTCTTTATCAGATTTAAGCCAACAGTTACAACAAACAGTCATGGGAGACAGAACGAGATGTTTATTTTCTGGCGACTCTATGAGCTACGTAAAAGACAAATGAGCTTGTCGGTTCTTCGAAAGCAGATATTGGCCGCGAAAATAATTTTTAGTATAGGAATCCAAAGTAATAATAAGTAAGTTTGGTATGCGCCAAGTCAAAATGCACTATGCAGCTTTTCTTAATACTAAAAGAAATTAGGTTAGGAATGCGGCAAGACGCTTTGACATCAAACATTTCGCCAAGTTACGTACATACGCGTATTTCAAATAAAATAAAAATGATCCTCATATCGTTGCAAAAAGCTGCACGTCGCTATTGCCGACTGTAAGGGTGCATCGCACTCGCCTGGATCATAATTTATATCCCACTGTGCCGAGCGCTTGTGTTCGTACATAACACAGTTTGTGGCAACAAATTAGGTATTAAAATAAATGACCAATTTGCTGATTATAAGGAACAAGCAATGAATTTAAGCATCTTCAGTTATCGTTTCATTATTTTTGTTCCTGGCTCTGGTTTTGGTTTACCGCCACAAGGCAACCAAGCTTGTCGCTAATTTAAAGCATTGACAGCTGATCAGCAGAGAAAACCCAGCTGAACTAATTGGATTACAGTGCCCAGTTGACACATATGTAGAAGAGGAAGCTAGTATCCATTTTACCTGCCACTTTGCCACTTTGCCGCTATTGCACAGTGAATACCTACTCTGCCGCCTTATCTGTGCTTTGATTGAAAGGCTAATACTTAAGAATGCCCAGAGCAAATACGAGTAAACAAAACCCAAAACTGTCACCGAGACTTACAGATGTGCAAGCATGAGTAGGGATTTGCATATTTCGCCACAATAAATCGCACTAAGTATGTCTGACTAAATAAAGAAGGTGAAATCAGGTACACCATTTATGTACTTAATAAGTACCTTGATTTCTTACGCATCTTCTTCAGTCGGTATCAGATGTGCAGAAGAAAATGTTAATTCAGAAGCTGTTCAGTGTCGCATTGTTCATTGCTCTAAGCAATGCTAAAAATGTAGAGCTCCAAGAGGCAGATTCCACGGACACCATTGAGTTAGATGACATCCCAACAACCAGCGCTGAGAGCATTGATGAGTGGGATGATCTGGATTCCGACAACGATACCAACGTGGAAGAACCTGCAACACGTGTCAACGGTGGCCGACCCGTCGCACAACTCGTTCCCTATCAGGTGTCATTGCAGATGCCTCGATTTGGACGTTACCATCACTTCTGTAGTGGATCCATAATTAGCGCTCATCATGTACTGACTGCCGCCCACTGTCTGGCCAACATGAATGCGAATGACATTAGCGTAGTCGCTGGCACGCTGACATGGCGCAGAGGAGGCGAACGCCATCGGGTCATTGCTATGCGCTCGCATCCAAGCTTCTCATCGAGCTCGCTAATCATTAACGACATAGCGGTGCTGAAGGTAACGCCGCCATTTAACTTGGGCAAATCCACTTTAGGCACGATTGCGCTGAGTGGAACGGCCCGCATCGGAGAGAATGTTCCAGTGCGCTTGACGGGTTGGGGCTCCCTTACGCCCACCGGATCTAGCGGTTTGCCAGAGCAGCTACAAGTGTTGGACTACCGCACCGTTTCAAACATGGAGTGTGCGCAGCAAGGTTTCCGCATAACTGCTAATGAGCTGTGCGCGCTGGGCGAGCGGGGTCGAGGCGCTTGTGTGGTGAGTAAGGAATGCATATGAGAATTTTGGAAAAGATCCAACATAATTGACAAGCACTAGTTGACACCTAAATTAACGCCTCTAAAATGTTTCTTAAAAAAATGATGTTTTACTTTGCTGCAATAACTTTTTAAAGAGCGCTACGTATACACACAAATTTATGTAGCTCTCCATGGCAAATCAATTTTGTTTTTTCCGATTAGAAATTTTAATATTTTTGCTATTTAATTTTCTCCAGACATAGCAAACCAGTAAATGAGTTGCGCAAAATTTGCTAAAAAGTCTTCCTACTTCCAGGGTGACTCTGGCGGCCCACTTATAACATTGCACGGCTCACCACAGCTGGTCGGGATCGTTTCATACGGCACCGCAACATGCGCCCAGGGTCGACCTGATGTTTACACAAGAGTGTCAAGCTTTCTGCCATACATTAATAAAGTAATAACCAGTGAAATGCCGTGAAGTTGTAAAAAATCGCTATTGTAAAAATTAAAGCTTGAAATTGTTATTCAAACCGCAAAGAACTAGTCACTCAGTTAAAGGCACGCTAAAGGGCAAAACGAGCAAAACAAGCGGCCAAACAATGATGGCAATAACGACAATGACAACGACAACGACAACGACGACGACGATGACGACGATGACGATGATAAACAAAGAGATGAGTATTTTCATTCATGCCCAATGCGACTAAAGATGGTGCACCTTTGCTCAGTCCGCTGGTCAAAAGCGCCAGACGAGTTCGCTAAATGGGCGAGGTGAGTGAGGTACGTATTTTCTTTGGCTGGCGATTTGCTCTTTGACGTCAGCCACAAATGGATGCGCTCCGCTTATATTGTCGGATCGCCGCTTAGTTTGTCGCAAGGCGCGCGGCGAATCCACAACTCTGGAGTCAGTCGCCAGTCGGTGCTGGGCATAAATGCCGTTGGTAAATTAATAAACTCGGCTTGGATATCCATAAGATGCTCAATGTTTGCACAATGGCTAATTAAAAAGTCGTGTCCGATAGTCGCCACAGACACCTCGCCCTGGTTGCTGCACTCTGCTCCTTTCACTGCGCGTTCACAATCTTTCAAGTGTAGACCTGCGATTGCATTTTGCTGGTCGGAATTTGCGTTTTGTTGGCGGGCCAAGAGGCGGCTCTATGTGCAAGCCACTTGCACACCGACACCAGCGAACCAATAAGCCTCGCTGTCTTGACCAAATCTAATGCAGGGGGAAACAATTTACCGCAGATTTGTTACAGTGTTGATGTGCGTCCCGCCGGGCACAGGTCCAAGAGTCTAACGCTAAGTCAAATGGGAAGCAAGTGTTATGCGTACTACATACATACATGCATATGAAATGTATGCGCAGGCACAGCAGAATAATTTATTTGGCGCTTGCGCTTGTTCGCCGTTGAGCGCCTTTTTAGCCCTCAACTGGAACTTCTTAGCAAATTTCGAATTTTACGCGCAGCGAATTCAAAACAAATTTTCAATGAAATTTTCCTGTGACGCATTTGAGGCTGCAGCATTTTATGTTTATGAAAAACGCGCTGGTACCCTACGAACCTATTGGAATTGCGCGCAGCAATGCCTTTAACTCTCGCAGCAAATTCGATTTGGCGCCGGTCCGTGGCAGAAACAAGAAACTTTGCACCGGGCAGCATTTAAATTCCAAATGCCCATTCCGTTCACCATATTTCCTGCCCCGCAAAGTAGTCAAATAGCAGGCGGTTACACACAGTTCTCGCCCTCAGCCGCTTAGAGATCGCCTCAAAACGTTGGCTGCCATCACATTCAACGCGCTTTACTCACTCACCGCTGCGTGCACATAAATTCATTTAAATCAATCAATTCAATTTGTTTGTCAATAAAATTTAAATGAGTATTTCATTTAAACAAATTAAAATCGACCCAGTTGAATGTCGCAATCTGTAGCCGACCGTTGAGACTACGCGCGCTGGAACCTCTCTAGCTGGAAAAATCGTCGCCCAACGTCATGGCGATATCCGAAGTGGGTACCGTTAGGTGTGTATGATGGTAGAATTATGAATATGAAGTGATTGAAGGCATGAAGCAAAGATCTCAAAAGTGTGTATACATACATACATACATATACTCCCCGCGAATTGTTGTTTATTTAGGCAACAAGATGCTCGCCCAACCATCGAACTGCCGCAGCGGAGTGGGTCTGATCGACGTACTGTGATTATTTTTTTTAAATTATTTTGAGCAATCATTTTGTGATTGTACGTATATGAAAATGAATCAGCTTCTGTGCAGGGACCCTGTAGAGAAAAATTTAATCATACATAGCAACTATTTACATTGCTACCACTACTTTTGAAGTGAAACGTATTTAGCGGCGGTTGTTTGGTTGGGAGTAAATTGGCAAATTCAACGGAAATTGCACACGGAAATGGTGCAACGGAAACGGGATTGTTAACACAAAAGTAAAGACAAAGAGGAGAATAAGGATACCGATAAAAGTAAAGATGAAGATAGAAAGATTAAAATAAAGGTAATAAAGGAAATAATTATAATTAAAGAGGAAAGGATATAGAGAGACACAGAGACTCAATCAGGGAACTATTTTGGGATTTTATGGATCCTTGGGATTCTATATTTTTATCGGTTTTGTTATCGATATTTTTATCGATATTGTTATGAATTTTGCTATCGATATTTTCGTAACTTATCGATATAATAATCGATATTTTTATCGATTTTTTTATCGATACTTTTATCGCTTTGTTATCGATATTTTTAACTATTTTGCTAGCGATATTTTTTATCGATTTTGTTCTCGATGTTTTTATCGATTTTGTTATCGATATTTGTCGATTTTGTTACCGATATTTATCGGTTTTGTTATCCATATTTATCGATTTTTTTATCGATATCTATCGATTATTTGATCGATATTTAAAAATTTTGTTATCGATATTTATCGATTTTGTTATCGATATTTATTGATTCTGTTATAGACGTTTATCGATTTTTATATCGACCTTTATCGATTTTGTTATCGATATTTACCGGTTTTGTTATGAATATTTTTATCGATTTTATTATCGATATTGTAATGGATATTTTCATCGATATTTTTATCGACTTTGTTATCGATATTTAGCGATTTTGTTATCGATATTTATCGATGGTGTTATCTATATTTATCGATTTTGTGATCGATATTTATAGATTTTGTTATCGATATTTGTCGATTTTATTATGGATATTTTTATCGATTTTGTTATCGGTAGTTTCTAATAAATTTTGCTACCAATATTATTATCGATTTTGCTATCGAAATTTTTCATCGATTTTGTTATCGATATTTTTATCGGTTTTGTTGTCGATATTTTAATGGATGTAACCATCGATTTTGTTATCGATAAAGTATAAAGATAAAGGAAAATAGAATAACCTAAATGTANGTCGATATTTTAATGGATGTAACCATCGATTTTGTTATCGATAAAGTATAAAGATAAAGGAAAATAGAATAACCTAAATGTAATTAGAACGAACGGGGGTAGAGTTAGTGATCTAGACAGAAAAGACAAAAACAGATGTAGTATGTGTGTACATATGTATGTATGTATATTGTTTATGAGACAAAATATATATGTATGTAACGTGAGTTTTACTTCTCCAGTGTGGCCCAGGCGCACTTACATTTTATTTATAATTCGGTAGCTTTATTGAGAGAAGTGCATACATACAATAAAAAATATGTAACTGTGCACTTCTGAAAGTGGTACGGTGGGCAAATAATTCAAACAATGTCCAAACGAAAGCTCCTGAAAAAAAATCTGAAAGAATTAAAGCTTCGTTGATACAAAGACACGATATTTCTGGAAAGCCTCCTTTTCCGACTATTACCAAAGCACTCCCAAAACACTCAGTTTATATTCGGACATTTTTGAGAGTCCTTTTCAAAAAAATCAACTTCGAAGCACTAAATCATTAAGAAGGTACATATTTGTATTTTTATTAATCCATATTGAGACACCACATATCAATGCTTTCGATTCGCGGTGGCTTCGTTGGCGTAGTGGTTCTTCGTCGCTTTACCCATTCCAATGCCAATTAAAAGCAAATAAATTCATTTCTTGCTTGACATACGCTGCTGCTTTTTATTGAAACAAAAAACCACCTAAACCAAAAACAATAATCCATTGAGATGGTAGATACAATTGGCTGTAAATATTGAGCTTTTTTTAAATACATTTGTAAAAGCTGTGCCATTAAAACATGTTATTAAAGGATGTGCTTTTTGAGATTTTATTTTCCGATAACGATTAAACGATCATAAGTTAGTCAGATCACACAAAACACAAAACATTTGCCGACTCGTTGTTTTTCGAAATGAGCAGCCGAACAGTGCGATTTAACTCCTCTAGGGCAAATGCGATCATTGATTTATGCGAACAAACTGGAAAATGTGGATGCCTTGGAAGACAACATTGTGCACTATTGCGGAGATGCATCCTCCATTGATTGAAAAGTGACATCCAAAATGCGGCGTCTTGGCTGCCCATATTCCCGAAATTAAGTTCATAGTGTAATGTTATAAAGCTATCAGTCTATAGCTCTACACCTCCAAAAAACCAAAACAATCTTTATGAGGTCTGTAGATACTCGTGCATGTCAAACCAAATTCTCGATGTCAAATTAAACGACAAAACGTCCGAAACTTGGTTACAAACCAGCCTACAATACGAAAGCACTCTTACCCACGGAACCACGGAACCACGGAATGACCAATCTTCTGTACTATGTACCATGCGAAATTCACGAATTACATATGTATGCAACAAGCCTTTTTCGTGATTAAGCTTTTTTGTGGATCCATGTCGAACACGGCTTATCCATCACTCTTTACAAAATGTTTTCTTGCAGCAACCTAGCGAGCAATTTAGAAAATATTGTCAAATGATAAAAGTGGCTTATAGTCGGATAATACCCAATTACAAGTGTGCAAGAAATGTTTGTTGTGGCGAGCGGAACCGGGAAAAAAAATTACGGCCCGAAAAATCAGTGTCATTGGTGATAATTTTAAGTGCGTTTCAAGCTTGAATGTTGTCGAAGAAAATAATGAATAATAAAATACAGCAGCAGCCAGCAGCGCGCAAACGCTCGCACATACAAACTCCGGCGTTGCGCGAGTACTTGACAGAATCTATGCGCATGTACCTGTTGGTAATTGATTTGGCCGGAGGTGTGGTATGGACGTGGACACTCAGTCACCTCTTCGCACATGGCCGGCACATGGCGGGTACTGGCTGGCAGCAAGCGACGGCAGTTTAAGGCACATTTGTGGCTGCTGCTTAAATAGCAGCTGGTGCAATTGCTGTCACAGAGCACCATGGTTGATCTTGTTGTTGCTGGAGTTGTTGCAGTCATTGCGTGCAACTGCATGCGGACAGCGATAAGCAGATAAGCAACATTAGCAAGCAATTTTCAATTAACACGAAAACCTGTGAATAGATACAGGTAACAACAACAACATGGCAGAACAACAGCTTTGGACAGCGACAACGTCACATCGACATCGACT